CTTCATTCTGATCAGGTGCCTTGGAGCTGGTGGGAGGAGAGCGACTATGCCCTGTTATCCTAGCATATTGGGTTCTCCTCTTGCAGGGTTATCACGGTTTGCTTCCTGAGCCTGTGCTACATACACGCAGACTCCTAAGCCAAGCAAGCAACTATTCTTTTCAATGAAAGCACAAAAGACAGAGGCACCTTCTTATCGTACCCACTCATCCAGCCCTGGACTCCTTTCCAAATAACACTGTTACTGTGAACCCTCCCTACCCTAATGACCAGAACAGCATTTCTCACTAAGAGAGTTGACTTTGTGACCTGAGATGGCTCATACCAGGTCTGAACCCTGCTTCTTTCAAAAACTAAATGCACCAATACAATGTCCAAATGGTAAGTTTGCATTTTGCCAAATATGTATTAAGTACTTATTAAGTAACAGTTACTGGGTTGGGGATAGCATAGAAAATAACATATACAGGGGCTGAAGAGATGGCTCAGCAGTTAAGAGGACTTGCTGCTCTTGCAAAAGACTTGGGTATGGTTACCAGTACCCACATCAGGTGGCTTACAACAACCTGCAACTCCAGCTCCAGGGGATCCTACCAGGTCCTGGGACCTTTCTCATATGAACCTACAACAATGGTGTCAGCATGCACAAGACCTACTGCAAATTCAAGCAAATAAAACCCCAGCACGGAATTGTGGAAATGGGCAGCAAGCCCCAATCTTAGATGAAGAATTAATGTCAACTGATTACTGCTGGGTGAGGAAGAGCTGATCTTCCTAAAGGGAGGGATTCTAGATAGGTTGACTAGACCCCAGTGGATGAACTGAGGGACGCCTGGGAACAGTAATTTGACACTACAGCCCTTAACACAATTGACAGAATGCATGAATTCCAGCGTGTGCATGTGTGTGTGTGCACGTGCGTGCGTGCGTGTGTGTGTGTGTGTGTGTGTGTGTGTGTGTGTGTGTGTGTGTGTAGGAGACGTTATATGGGGAAGGGAGTATAATGATGACTGATGATTAAGACTGATTAAGATGTTCTGTATGAAACATAAAAAAAATTCAATAAAAAATTTACCCAAAATAAGGTGAATTCTGCAATATGTAAACTGCATCTCAACAAAGAAGTTTAAAGTAGGGGAGGTGAATGAATCAAACAATATGACTTACATGAATTGAAAAGGCATCCAGTGCTCAAAAATAGGAAAGTGTGGCCTTCAAAAGGGATCATGATTTCAAGTGAATATAGTAATTACATAAATCTCTAGTTGCATACTAGGTACATATCTGCACTAGTGAATACACATAAACTGGTGCTATCAGAAAAAGAGAAGTAGGTTGTATTAACTGTCAGTTTATAGCTGTGAAACTATAGTTACACAAGATGGTATCACTACAGGAACCCGAGTGCAGGAACACTCACAAACTCAATGTGAATCTACAACGATCTTAAAATGAATGTTTGTTTTGGGTTTTTCTTTTATTTGTTTGCATAAGGTAGGGTCTTATGCAGCCAAAGCTAGGCCTTGACTTCATAATCTTGCTACCTCAACTACCCAAGGGCAAAGATCACAAGGATGTGCCACCATGACTGGCTTAAGAATGAAATTTTTAATTTAAAAAAGTGGGTTGTTTTTTTTTTTTTTTTTTGGTGCTGAGGACTGAAAAGTATTTTCTTTTTATCCCAACACCGGGATAGCAGACACTAGAAAATTACAACATTGAATACAGTGGGTTTGAATATAGCTTGGGAGATTTAAGAAGAACCAGTTTCAACTAAATAAAACTGTCATTGTGAAAAACTAATAATAAAGTTGTATGTTACAAATAAAAGTCATTAAATTTTCTCATGTAGTTGGATCTTGTAAAAGAAATGTGAAGACTTTGAGCAAATTAATTTGTGTAGAAGAGTCCTAAAATATATATACCCTGAAAATCTTAGATTAAAAAAAAAAACAGTGGTGGTATAGATCAGTGACAGAGTTCACCTAGCATGCATAAGGCCCTGGGTTCCACTCACAGCAGTGTGATAGAACTAGTTGGCTACTTTTTAAAAGTAATAGGCCTGCTGGACGTGGTGGCGCACACCCTAATCCCAGCACTCAGGAGGCAGAGGCAGGCGGATCTCAGTGAGTTCAAGGCTAGCCTGGTCTACATAGCGAGATCCAGGCCAGCTGTGGCTATGGGGAGACCCTGTCTCAAAAAGACCAAAAAATAAAATAAAATAAAAATAAATAAAAGTAATAAGCACTAATGCATTATTTTAAAAGCTAGTAAAGAATCAAGCATTTGCCTACCATTCCTGTATGGATGTACCAGTGGTTAAGAAAACAGTAGGTAGAAGGAACTACCTCTTTATGACAGTATCTTCATCAACAAACTAAGAACAATTAGACAGTCATCATCTACAACCCCAATCAATTCAACTAACATGACAAAAACTACAAAGAAGTGCAGGCATTGGCTGTCTCCTGCTGGAGGAAGACACCACTATGATGTCATGCCACAGGGTGCAAAGGGACTGATCACACCTGAGGATGAGCTATCACTTTGCAGGAAACACAGAGATCAGAGACAACAGGTAAACCTCAAAAAATTCACAATAGGAAAGTCTAGAGGCTAACTGCTCTTACAGTCTTCAAGGGATAAAACTAACGAGAAGTCAGGGCTGGAGAGGTGGCTCAGTGGTTAAGAGCACTGACTGCTCTTACAGAGGATCTGGATTTGATTCCCAGCACCCACGTGGTGGCTATGAATCATCCTTACCTCCAGTTCCAGGGGAATCCAAAGCCTTCTTCTGACCTCCTCGGCATTTCACAACACGGGTGCACTCACATACATGCATGCAATATACTCATACACATAAAATAAAAATAATAAATAAAAGATATTTTTTAAAAAAACTAACGAGAAATCAAAAATTCCTTTAAGTGAATAATAAACTTAGGATATACCCTTGGGCAATAATACTATAAAGAAATGCAGAGAATAAGTGTCTGTGAGATACCCAGCCCTAAGTGACTCATCTACAATGCAACCTCTATACCCAAGGCTCAGGGAACGTGGCAGAAGAGGGGGGCAGAAAGAATGTAAGAGCCAGAGGGACAAGATACTTGCTGCTAGTTAGTCCATTCTAGACATGATAGGAAGCTGAACTAGTGACATCTCCACAGTACAAAGTCTAACAAGATCTGCATAAAGACAAAACCAGCTGACACGCCAAGGTAGATGGGAGAAATGCCACATGCTCCCACCTCAAGATGAAGAACTACAGGCAATCAATGGATGCTGAGGGAGGGAGAATCAGTTTTCTCCAGGGACTAGCTCCTTCCCTGAGAGGTTATCTAATCTCAAGTGGGTTAACCCTAAACACAGGTATACATAAACACCACTAAACAGACTCAGTGCATTTGATATATATTTATAAATGTCTGTATGTTTATGTAACAATAATAGTCAAAGGAGAGGACAAGAAATTGGGGGGGGGCATGGGAGGAGTTCGAGAGAAACTGGAAGGAATAGAAATTATGCAAATACAATATTTGTATATGAAATTCTCAAAAACAACACATACACATGAAAAAAAAAACAGAAATACAAGGAAGAACTTACTTTAAAAAGTAGGAGAAGGGTTACTTTAGAAACAGGAGTTATGATTAAAGTGTGGTTTATAGATGGCTTAGCTGGGACAGGTAGCAACACTCTAATTCCTGATCAGGATAACAGGCACAAATGTGTTCTCCTTGGGATAACACAGTAAGCCACACATTCATATTAGGTGGTTTTCTATATTGGTGTTTTACTTAACAATAAAAAAATTTAAGCAAGAAAACTTGTGCCACTAGTACAAACTGGCTTAAGCAATTCAACACTGAAAACAATCACATGAAAATAAACAATATTACTACATTTTAACAGCCTCTACAGCTCCAGCAAGGTTCCCACATCTGTTTTCTGTATTAAAAAGGAAATCTGTCAAGTGTCAAGGACATGTAAGAACTCAAACGAGACCTTCTTCTGATTTAAGGCCTCAGGGTCATGAAAGGGGAAGATCTTGATCCTGCAATTCAAAGTGACATTACACTAGCCACCTTCAAAGCATCTCAGGGTCATCTCACATCAGGCACTTCTGGAAATGGAGTGTTGAAAAAGGTCTAGTATGTGAAGGTAGGTCAGGAGTGGAAAACAGGAAAAACTTAGCTCTCTCAGACCATCAACAGATTTATTTTACTCATTCAACCCTTTCGAACAAGCTTAAAAGGTTTGCTTTTCCATAATAATCATTTAAGCAAGAGACCAACTCTGAGGCCCGGTGAGAGGCACTTGTTCTCATTCCAGTTACGAGCACAGACACTTCACTCCATACTCAACCAGGCACCTCTGGAGCCTAGCAATGCTCTACGTCATCCTTCAGGCCTAATGTCTTGGAGGTTCCCAGGTGGCACAACGCCCTGTACTGCAGAAACAGGCACAGATGGCTTCCTTCATCTGAACTTGGTATCTTAAAACAGGAGCCACATCCTGAGCTGCTTGCTTGTTCATCACCACCAGCCTCAACTGAACTCAAGGCTCTTTTTCAAAACTGGTAGGAGGATCAGATTACATAAAGAGACCGGCCCCTGCCAAGATCAAGGCTTTGAAAGCAGAAATTCTGAAACACTCACTTTTACCCCTTCATTTGAAGACTGGCTAAAAGTAAAACAAAACCAGAGTGAGTATACAGAGCCCAGATGAGTTTCACTTAGAAACTCATGTGTCACTCCAAGGCACAAGGCAGAAGCTTAAGGCAGACTAGAAGCTTCCTCAGGCACCATCCTGGGCTTGTGTGCTTTCATCCAGACAAGGTACGTGTTTCTGCAGGCCTGTGACTCTGGGCAAATCTACAGTGGGAGAATGGTTAGACACAAGGAGGGAGAGGAAGGTAACACATACAGTTGGGATTTTTCATTGAAACCTTTTCCAAGGAGTCAGAGAAGTAAGAGAACCTGCTTAAACATTACTTACTGCCTGGTGGATGTGAGACTTCACTTGCTCACTCAACATGCCTTCAAATACAAAGGAGTCGCCAAACTTCTCAGCCTGTTAGGAGGGTAAAAACAAAAATTCAGCAAAAGTTAGAGCTGGGAGCTTCACATGCACCATTTTCTTTGTATGCTACTAACAAAGTTTTCTGTCCACCTGAACTTGGGTTTTTCCTATGACTTCCGGAGGATCAGAGAGGACTTTAAAGCCTCTGATTTCCTCTAAAAACAGGTTAATGTCACTCACAGAGATGATTTCATGTGAGACTTGATTAGCTGAAAAGACTGCAAGCTAGAAGAGGTTAGCTTTTGAGAATACAACTGCCCTGTAAAAGAACACATTTCCCCATTCAAAGGACACTTTTTGCTCCTTGCCCTCCTGGGTCGATTAGTTCCCAGGGACTATGAGCATCGCGCAAAATGTCCTGTAATGGTGGTGGGTCATCTGGCCTCTTGATCAAGGAAGCGGAGGAGACCCCACCAGATGGACTTGAGCCAGTGTCCAGTCTATAAAGAGGAG